GGAGCCGCAGCCTCTCTCGCCCTCCCCGGGCCGGTGCCTCGGACCCATCGGGCTGCAAGCTGCGCGCTCGGAGGTCGGGCTCCTCGCTTTGCCTTGCTGGGACCTTTTCTTGAGGGCCGTTTGGGGACATTATCTTGGCCAGACGAAACATTTTCTGTTCAGGGGCCCCATCAGAGGGAGTCGTGCTTCCCAGTCTCAGCCCCTCCCTGCGCACGTGTGCCTGGCTCCCAGGGTTTCCTTCTGAGCCCTCTGAGGAATTCTGCCCCTGTCCCCAGAGGGGAATTTTTTTGGCAACAGCCTTGTGGTGGCCATGGTGCTAGGTCCTGGGATGGACAAAGGAAAACACACAAATAGAATGCTCTGGAGAAGGGCCCGCGGCTTACTAGGGAGTTCAAGCATACAAACATATATATAATTGCAACCTGTTACATACCCGGTGCTGTGAGACTAGCCAGGTGATCTAGGAAGGCTTTCCTCAGTTCTCAAAGGGGTTGGTTCCTGCCCGCCCCTCCCCCAATTGGTGATTTCTAGTTTACAGAGGAAATCAACACAACAAAGCTCTGAGGGGCTCCTGCAACTCCGAAGCCTTCCTGGGAATTCTGTAGTTAACCAAGGAGCTGTGAGCCCTGGGTAACCCCGCATGTGGAAGGAACACTTGTGTGGGGTCCTCCTTGGCCAGGTGGGTGGTGTTCTTGGTGTCTGTCATCGAGTTAACCAGATGACCCCGTTTTCGCCTTTTCCCTCAGGAATTTTATCGTCACCGGCTTACAGGATATCGATAAGTGCAGACAGCAACTTCATGATATCACTGTGCCTTTAGAAGTTTTCGAGTAAGTACCATTTCTGATATTCATTTGAGTATGATTCTTGTTTAGTTGCGGTGTGATTGCTTCAGTCATGGTGATTTAGTGCTTGCCATGGGGTAGGACAGCCTAGGTGCTGGGGCTATGCCAGTGAAAAAAACACAGAAATACCCGCTCTCATGGCGTTTATGCTTTAATGGGATTAACAGTTTATAAAACTATCAATATTGTGTATTTGAAAAAGAGTTACGTGTGAATAGAGGCTTGTTAAACATGTGAAAAGCATCATAGGTTCTCAAAGTCTTGCTTAGACAAAAAGACAGCCACATAACTTCCCTTTTTCCTTAAAAAAGAAAAAAAAGATAAAAAGTTTTTAGCGGGCTGTATTTTAAGTTAAAAAAATTACATCCAGAACTTGCGAATAATCTGGTCTGGTGTCTCCCACGCTGCCCAGGAGTGTGAGGTCAGGGGAGTGATAGTATCTTCTCTGTTGGAAAAAAAAAAAAAAAAATTCTTGGCCAAGTAAGTTTGGGAGGCTGTTCACCGTTTTCTCTGGGGGAGTTACATGCACCTGTCTCAGTCATGGCCCAGAGAACGCCTCCAGGGAATACACTTGTTTAGTTTTCTTCAGTCCAGGTTCTATCCCACTGCAGAGGCCCATTTGGGTGGTCGGTGTCCCGGACACGTCCTGCCCAGGCCAGGGCCGTTTTCTTCATGCCAAGCAGCCTCTCCCTGCCAGATCTGGCTGGGATCAGTGAGAACATTCTAGTACTTTCTGCAAATGTAAACCACTGATTTCCTTGAACAAAAGAACAGTTATTGTCATTTTATACCCCAGGAGGTCAGAGATACAAGTCCAGATTACAACTCAGCAGCTCTGCACAAAGACAGGCCCCACAGGCTGCCGTTTTCACGGTCCCGGCTCTGTCCCTGCCTGCTGGGCGTGGTGTCACACGTTCTCTGTGTGTTCTCAGTCGGCCCCACTGAGTCCCCCGGCTTCAGGTGGGCGCGAAGTTGACATAGGCGAGTTACAGCTCTGGACTCCTGGACGACAGTGGCGGTTTGCCCAGTGTGGGAGTGTGGAGGCCACTTTGCTTTCCTTGGCGTGTCTTTGTGGTGCCATTCTGGTCCGGGATGTGCCAGATGGGTGTGGTGATGGGTGCCGGTGGCTGCTTCAGTCTTCGAAGTGGGCAGATGGGGATACGAGATGGGGAGACATTGCTGAAGGGCAGCGGGCCTCGGCCAGCTCAGCCACAGCAGAAGGGACAGTGGAGACTCACCTGGAGTGCAGGAATGAGGTGGCCTCTGGGCTGTGATAAGCAGCATATGCAAATGAAGTAGGAGTTTCCAGGCCCACAGCAGCGGCCTCAGCACACGCTTCGGGCACCGACTGTGTCTGTAACAAAGATAAAGATGTCAGCCAGGCCCTTCTGTCCAGCACTTGGGTGGGTGTGTTGGCAGAAGTGGGGTTCAACCCTCGGGCCTCAGGAGAGCCCAGTCCGAATGGTATTGTTGTCGAAACGGTGGTTTATTTAGGATACTTGAGCCCGTTGGGTTTTTTTGTTTCCAGAAATGGATGGATTTTACTGAGAATTAAAACCATAATTTTATTGCTTTCATGCCATCATTTCAAAAACATTGCATTACAACAGAAGTTTTAGAATTTGTGAGTTATTAATTTTCTGCTGTCTGTCGTAATGAAAAGCAAGTTTTTATGCCAGTAACGGTAGCTTAACAGTGTCTTTTATCTGAAGTGAGCATTTTTTTTTTTTTTATACCGATGCACAAAAATACATAAATTGGACTTAGTGTGGTGGTTTTGTTTCTTTGTAATGAATAATTCAGTTAAGCCGAGTGGTATCCAGGTCTCTAGGACATGGAAGTAGGCAGGTGGCCTACCGCTGGTACAATGTGGAGGAGCTTAATGAAATCTTTTGGATAATGAAGACACTTTGGGGACAAGTGTTGAAAATGTCAAAAAGTGGTTTTATACTGTTTGGAAATAATTGGAGAGACTCTCTGTTATGTTCAGATTACTTAGGTGTATTTAGGAAAGTGGTCAGCCCCCCCCACTGTTAAAAGCAGTGGGACAGTCTGTGAAATAATCTCGGGGTGGCCAGACCTGGCTCTCTTGCTCAGAGCTCTCCTGCCCGTCCCCGTCCAGCGCCCCAGGCTCCTCCACCCCGGTTCCCAAGGGGATAGGGGACCTGGAATGGATGCTGTACCTTGGCGGACTCTCCCCTGTGCTGCTGGGGCCCGAAGCCGTAGCCGGCCCAGTTGTCTCCCGACAATGGCTGCCTGACCTCTCAGGCTGTCGTGAGGGTCAGGGATGATGGCCACAGGCCGTTGCAGAGCAGCGTGCCGCAGCCGTGGGGCGGGTGGCTGCGAGCTTGCTGGGCTCCCCCGCGACTAAGCATGACTTGATTGCCTGAGTTGTCCTTGTTCTTAGACACAATATGAGGTCACGTCATCTACACCTGTATAAATGTACGACTGCCAGTTCACCCGCTTCCTGGACGCCGTTGGTCCAAACAGGGCCACGTGGCATTGTATAGAGCTAGCTTTTTTTTTCCCCGTAAGGAAACCGCGAGGATGAGTATCCTGAGAGTGTTAACGGAGATGTTCCCTGTTTCCAGATACATAGATCAAGGTCGAAACCCACAGCTGTACACCAAGGAGTGCCTGGAGAGGGCTCTGGCGAAGAACGAGCAAGTCAAAGGCAAGATCGACACGATGAAGGTAAGTGAGGCTCCCGGGAACGGCGCCGTCAGACGCAGAGAGACCCTTCCTCGTTCTCTTCCGTGCGTAGTAAAGCGTCAGCGATTTTACAGCGCTGCCCGGCTGGGCCTTGCGATCGCCCTGCTTCTCGGAAAGTCAGGGTTAGCGTCTGTGATTGACAGTCGCCGTTGCCCGTCCGTGATTGTGTTCATTTTTAAGACTTGTGCTCCGGCGCTTCCCATTGGGCCTTTTCCTGGAACCGGGTCCTTTGGTTTGGAGGGTTCCTGGACCTTTGGTCCCTTCTGCAGGTTCTGACTCTAGACCCCTTCGCACCGTACCCCTGTGTGACGGTTCTCCCCAGAGGCCGCCTCTGTTCCTTCGCCGTGATGAGATCGATCTAGAAAACTATGTATCTTGAATGTGAAATGTGTCGTCTTTTTCTTAAATTCATTCAAATGTGGTTTCAGTCGGGGGGGTGTGGCTTCTTCACTCGGATGGTGCCCCCCCGTTTCTGGGCTCCGGCTTCCGCTGGCCTCTCAGCACCGGCCCTCCTGCCTCCCCTCCTGGCCCGCGTCCCGTCCCGGCCACGCTGGCCGGGCTCCGTTCCTGGAGGTCACCCACCGTCCCCTCCTGTTCCTCCTCACGCCGTCTCCTATCTCGGGAGCTCTTGCCTGCTCTCTCTCTACACTGACTGGCGCTTGGGATCACTCACTGTCACCTCCCCAGACAGGCCTCGGGAACCAGCCTTTCCTAAGCTGCTTTCCTAAGCGCACTCGGGGGGCGGGGGGCTCTTTTCTTTTCCTCTGTTCTGTGTCCACTGTGAGCCTTACGCTCCAGGTCGCCGGTGCCCACAGGTGTGCCAGGGGTGTCTGATGTGACTCCTTAGGGCTCAGAGGGTGTGAGAAATGAGCAGACGGACTGTCAAGATGACGGTGACAGTCATCACAGGTCCTCTGGGGCGGCAGGGCTTCCCGGGGTCCCCCAGGGAATGGGTACTGAGGATGGGCAGCGGGCCCTAGACGTGGTGTTTGCCATGAGTGCCGCTGTGGCTTCATTTCTGTCTCGTCGCTTTGGGACTGAGTTGCTGGTGAGCCCAGTGTGATCTTTGGGAGGTGGTGCAGCTGCGTCAGCCATGCACCGGGGGTGTCGGGACTGGCTGGTGAGTTGCGGTGCCCGGCCGAAAGCCCCTCCGTGTGGACAGGGTTGCGGTCCCCGTGTCCTCAGTCCCGCCATGCTTCCGTCTGCCTCCGGGCCTGTGCTGGTGTTCCCCATCAGTGGTGCTGCTCGGGGGCTGTGCGGCTTGTCCTCGGTGTGCGTCCGCTGTCACTCAGTGTCATCCTCTGTCATCTGAGACCTGTGAAATTCACAGCAGTTACATGGCCTTGCTTGCCCATGGGTCATGTGTTTAAACTTCCGAAAGTTAAATCTTAAACAGTTCAGGTCGTGGTGCAGGGCAGGCTCCCCTGAGCGTGTGCTCTTAGCTGCTCGCACGCGCACTGCTGCTTCTCAGTGTAGCTCATGGGAAGAGGGTCGAGATGCCGCCAGGTACTAGCTGCGGCGGAGGCTGCAGTAAACAGGTGTTACGCTGATGAGTAGGAGCAGGAAGCCATGGCGTTTGGCGTAGACAGATTTCCAGCTGCTCTGAAAGTTGCGTTGAGTTGTTTGCACACAGAGACTGTGATGTGGTTCAAGTTAATAATTGCTTAATTAAATATTATTTGAAGATTCTCGTTACGTGCACTGTCTGCAAAAATCGTTCCCACCTGTGTGGCTGGCGCCCCGCCAGCGGGGCTTCCTGTGCTGTGCAGAGGTCGGATTTGGATGGGAACGCCTCGCAGATGTTACCGATGAACCGCCCTGTTATCTGCAGCTGGTTTGCCAAATAGCGCGACCATGGCCGTGAGCCCGCAGCGCTGGCAGGCCCATGCCCGTTGGGGCAGAGCACGGTTTCCGTTCTTCTGAAGGGCTTGGGGTGGGGGGTGCAGTCTTTAATTGGGGTGACAGGTGACAAACAGATACTTAGACGGTGTTTATTTTCATTTTAGAAATTCAAAAGCCTGTTGATTCAAGAACTTTCTAAAGTATTTCCAGAAGACATGGCTAAGTATCGAAGCATCCGGGGGGAGGATCACCCTCCTTCCTAAGTCCGTCCTCCCTCCGTCTGAAGGTCCTCCTAGTCCTGCAGGAACCGCGTGACCTTCAGGCAGCCTGTGACTTGAGCGGCTGCTCTCCTGTGCCGGCCCTCCAGCCACTCTGTCCTGGTCGTCGGCCTTGGGGATGGCGGGGCCTGGTGGGCCTGTGGAGCGCCGCTGCAGCAGGCCTCCGTCCCTGACACGCGTCTGTTAGGTCCTCGAGTGTCCCCTGGCTGTGAACACACGCCTAGCGTGCGACGCGCTGATTCTCCGTGGCAGAGCATCCTGGACGTAGTAAACATGATAGGTGAAGAAGAAGGTCTGAAAGTTCTAGCTAATACTTTATGTTCCATTTCATTATGGTGTCAAAGAAAGCTTAAATAAAGGAAAAGTTAAAAATGAAAAAAATAGGTTTAAAATTGGTTTAAAATGAGAAGTACTTGAATTGGTTTTGTATTTTTCATGTATAGTGCATAAAGGATGTGTTTAGTGTAACTGTTTACAAGGATTTGTGTTAGATATGAGCATATAATAAAGTTTTTAAGTGTTTCTATGACTTATGTAGTTATTTTTATAACATTTTTCACAGTATAGTAGAGATTATCTTGTAAACAGTCAATTTTTACTTCCCCAAAATGTAATATTCATAAAATCTGCTCTGGGCATTCAGGCCAGAAAAGCTACAGCAGAGGGTAGAATTCTGGTGTCCTGGCCTTGCAGAGGGCGCGGTCTGACCCAGTGGTCCCTGCGGGCCGTGGGGGCCCGCGTGTCCCGCGGTAACTCAGGGATGCTGCACACTCGAAGCCCCGCCCTGGGGCAGAGGCGGGCCCACTCAGACCTGTCGAGTCGGAGGCTTCGGCTGCGGCTGGGGACCTGCAGTGTGGATCACCCCCCCACCCCGACTCTGGGTCCCCTTAGATCCCAGAGGCTCTCTGAGGACTTCAGTGTTACCAGTATGGAGCAGTGTCCGTGTCACGTGAGATGGTAGGTGTGGTTTAGTCAGAGCCTCGCTGTCTGTGCTCTCGCTGACCCCTCGACCGGGCACTCGTGCGCGGCCACCGCCTCCCTAGGGGATCTTGCTTGCTTAGGGTCAGGCCCCTTAGAAGTGGCTACCTCGTTACTAGTTTCATTCTCTCCAGAAAGACACAGGACAAGGTATCCTATCTGGGGACGCAGTTTCTTCGGGCTGAGGGGACCCCCGGCCGGTAGGTCCCAGAGCTGGTGGTTCCTGTCTCGCGTTGGTTTTCCCGCCTCTGTCCGGCTTGCCCAGCCCCCAGCACCGCTCCCGTAAGTCCGCTCAGTGGCCCTCACCGCAGCCCTGTGAGCGTGGGAACTGCCTCTGCGCTCCAGAGACGGGTACGGGCAGCCAGTCGCTGCCCAAGGTCACAGAGCCACAGCCGATCACTTCCCGAGGTCACAGAGCCGCAGCCCGTCACAGAGCCGCAGCCTGTCACTGCCCAAGGTCAGAGCCGCAGCCAGTCACTGCCCAGGGTCACAGAGCTGCAGCCGGTCACTGCCCAGGGTCACAGCCATAGCCGGTCACAGAGCCGCATCCGGTCACCGCCCAGGGTTGCAGAGCCGCATCCGGTCACCGCCCAGGGTCGCAGAGCCACAGCCGGTCAGTGCCCGAGGTCAGAGCCGCAGTGCAGGGCGGGCCGGCCTCGGCCGGGAAGAGTGCCGTGTGCTTCCTCCACACAGTGATTGTAGTGCTCAGCGTCGCGTTGACACAGTGCCACAGACACACGTCGCCATGGATACGCTGGGCCTGGCTCACATACTTCCGTGCATCGACTCGGCCCCTCAGCAAACCGGTGAGGGGCCTGAGGCACAGTGGTTGGGTGGCCTGCTCAGGTCGCCCCGCTAACAAGGGGTGGAGCTGGCTTGCACCCGCACAGTCACAAGTCCCCACTCAGCCCCGCTCGGCCCTCCAGCCTCTTCATCCCGTCCATCAGTCCCTGTTGGGTATCTGCTTGGCTGAGAGAACACTCATCTTCACACACTTCCTTCTACTTGTTCAGTTATTAAGGATAAATTCCCGGAAGCGGATCATGGGATTCACACCCGACAAAGGTTTTGATACTCATTTCCTATGGCCTTCACGCCCCGAAATAACCAGCTGTTAGTTCCAAAGGCAAATGTCCATCCTTGGGGATACCACTGATGTCCCTGGGTGGTTTATTGTTGATGATCTTATCGAACAAAACAGTATCTATGTGAGTGGCTTGTCCAAGTGCTGTGACAGTCGATGACACAGATGCTGGCTGCTAATACGGGCAGTGGACACCGGAAGGACCAGACGGCCTGCTGTTTCCTGCCTCTCATCTAGAGAGAACTGACCTATCTGTCCACGTGACAGGTGCATTGACCTCAGAGGGACCGACAAAATGTACAGTCCTTGATTCCCTGAAGACTGGTGACGTTGGGGGGCAGATGCCCCTTTTAAGTGTGCCACCTGAGTAGTTACAAAGGAAAAGGTGGATACGTTTGGCTCTATGAAGGTTAAACACCCCAAACTGATGTAAAGTTAAAAAAATAGTATAACTCAAAAGACAAAAACTAAGAAACGTACATATGACAAAGGGCTAAATGCCTCCTGCACAAAGAGCTCGCTCCTCCGCCAGTAAGCAAAAGGGGACAACCTGCGGACAGGCACATGTTCACTGCTACACTGTTTATAACGGGAAAAGTAAGAGGAAGTAATAACTTGGATGTCCGTCAACAATAGCTTAAGTCATGGGTCATCTGTTTGAGGGAGCAGTGCACAGTAATTAAAAAGAATGAAAGAAGGAGGAAGATCGGTATGCAATGACATGGAAGGATCGCCAAGATGTATCAAATTAAGTAATTAAACAATCAGTTTGTTTGACAGACATTCGTAAGGGTCTGTGGCGATTAAGCTGCATTTGCATCTGAACGCCACGTCTTTCCCACGCACACGTCCCCCCTGTACCCCCCATCCAGGTGCGTCATCCTCACCCCCTTTCCCTGCGTCTCCGCTTCTGCCCTCGAATGGGAGGGAAGCCTCACGCGTCCACGCACCCCACATCCGTGCCGTTTTGACTCCCGCCGTACGGGGCGTCTGGCTCTCCCAGCCCTGCACGCGCGTGCCTCCCTCACGACGCACCTCCCTCCCCGGTGTAAAGCCACTTCCGTGAGCTCACGTCTGAGACCTCAGAGCAGGGCGGGTCAGTTTGTCCACCTCTCCTTGGACATTCAGCATCTAAGGCGCTCAGAGGCAGAGGGAACGTCTTGCTTTCAAGGCTGTCCTCTCCCGAAGAGCCTGGATTGGGCCAGCCTTGCTCATTCCTGCGCCCTAGGACTTCCTGCTGCGCTTATTAGTCAATGAGCATTAGCGAGTGATCAAATCCTGTGTCACAAGCAAGTCTAGGTATCTCTAGGTCATGCACGGATCTAGCAGTGGCCGAGAGATACTGTGACGGGGCGGAAATGAAATGTCACAGTTGCCTTGGACCCCGGAGCGGGCTGTACTTACCCGGACCCTACGCCCCGCACTCTGTGACGCTAACAGCAGGCAGAGCACCTGAGACCAAGGAAATGGCCAGACTCCGGAAGGCCGAGTGCTCCGGAGCGGGAGCCCGAAGGGGGACGGGTGTGAAATGACGCTCCCAGACCTCCCAGCGCGATTCTGCACAGGAAAACAAAGCACACCCCCCACCCCGCAAACGACCCTTCAAAACGGCCTCAGCCTCCTTCATTTCCTCCTTCCTGGCCATTTGTTGGCTCTGTCGCAGGCCGGCAGTGTGCAGCGACTTCTGGTCCATTAACTGCCTTTCCCCAGCTGCGGGGACGTCCCTGGACCAGCAGTGGGGGTGCTCCCTCACGGTCACCTCTGTCCTCTCTGGGACCTTCGCTCGGCCTTTGGCGGAGTTCCAGTTGTCGCCAAGGAGATCTGGATATGCGATGACTACTCCC